CTGTGGCTCAAGTGGTAGTGCGCTAGCCTTGAGCTGAAGAGCTGAGGGACAGCGCCCAGGCCCAGAGTTCAGGCCCCACGACTGGACCCCCCCCCCCAAAAAAAAAAAGAATCTCATGGGCTTGCCTGCTCCTGCAGACTTTGAACTACAGTCCTCAGATCTTAGCCTCACAAGTGTGAGCCACCAGTGCCTGGGGAATTGTTTTTTGTTGTTGTCTTTTAAGAGATAAAGGCCAACCCCCTAGATGCTGAGCTGACTTCCATGCCCAACTTCAGTTGGTGATTCTGGGTCAGACTTCATCTGAGTAAAGGCCAAAGTTTTAAGATGTCCAGGCAGAGTGGATGCAGGGTGTTATTGTTGACTTGATCATTGGCACAGGTGTGTTTAGTGTTTAGTTTGTGGAGTTTATGGGACCCCTGCATGACTGGGCTAAGCCTGGTGCCTTCTACTGCAGTGGAAAAGGCCCCAGAACTGGCAACTGGGCAGCTTGGTGGTACTGTATCTGTGAGAGCTGGGCTTGGCTAGCCAGGTACTTGTTTTCTTCTTCCAAGGTAGGACTAGGACTATCATTCAACATCTCCTTGCGTAGTTGCACAGTGGAGTGAGGGTACACTGAGTCAGGACTGCTCAAGCAAGAGTCATTACAGCTGCTGGTTGATCTACCGTCCATAATAGGCTCGCCTGGTGGCAATCATTTTTTATGGTGAATTATTTGGTGCTGCACAGTACTTTGTCCCGTCATTCTATACTCACGAAGCGCGGGTGGGGCAGCGGGATGCCCCTCCCTCCCCTGGCATCGTCTAGGCCTCACATCTTCCTTGTGTGACAGTTGAATATGAGCTAGGGGGCCCACCTTGTGTCCCTGCTGGATGGCTTCCAGGGTGCTTGACAAGTGGAGGTGGCCCCACCTGACTCAACCCTGCTAGTGCAGAGTGATGCTAGTTACCTCTACTTCCCCACAGGTAACTCCAGGGGCCAGCCACCTTTCCTCTTGAAAGTGGATCCTAGGATTCCTGACAGGAGGTGGGAATGGGACTGGATGAACCATGCAGGCCCCATGGAATTCAGATGTGGAGGGCTTTGCCAGAACCTACCCATTTTGATCCAGCAGGCTCAGGAAGCCTAGAAACACCTTGTGGGTATGAGAACTTCAGGGCTTTGAAGTCATCAGAGATGAGAGTATGTGCGTGGGTATGTACATGCGTGACGGAGAGTCACCTGGCAGAACTCTGCAGAAACTGCTTCTGCCTACTGATAACTATGTGCTATGTCTACAGTGGAGAAAAAGCACTAGAGACACCCCAGGCCGGAGTCACTTCTGAGCACCTAAATCCCCAGGCAATAACCAGGATAGGGAGGGCAAAGCAGCTATGGGTACTGAAGAAGTGGCTCAGGGAGAGGAGAAACTGAGGCCAGGATCCACTACCTAATCCTTTTATTTTGGCTCGATATCCTTCTTCCCCTTTATCTCCTCTCTCCCCCCACCCCATGTCCCTAGTCCCTATCCCCTCCCTCTCAACCATTAAGACAGTCTTCCAGGGTTAAGTCCTCCCCTCCGGGCTTAACCCTTCCTTGTACTATCCACATCTGCACAGTCCACTGAGGTGAGGCTGTCCACAATGGCTATCCAAGCACTTGGAAATGTGGTTAGTGGAAATGAGAAACTCTTATTTTAATACATTTAAATGTAAAAACGGATAACTGATTCAGTAATTTGGAAAATTTTTAAGTACGCTTGGAGCAATTGTTTTTTCAACTGTAAATCTTGTGAAATCTAAGCATGGAGCAATGTTTACAGGGAAAACATAGTATCAGAATCCAGATTGTTGCAACAGTAAACTACACACCAGATTTTCAGGAGTTCCTATGGGGAAACGAAAATATCTCATTAAACTACTGAGTATACAGGGACAGGAGGGGAAAACTGAGATAGAGCAAAGGAAGGGGTGACACTGTCCCAAAAGATGTGTGCTCATTACCTGACTAATGAAGTGGTAGCCCCTCTGCACATCACCTTTATAATATATAGATATAGCTAGATAAGCAGAAAGAGAGACAGACAGACAGAGACACAGAGAGAGAGATGAGCCATGCTACTGGTTTCTTTTATCCTTTTTAGTATGGCCACTAGGAAGTCTGAAGTATCTTGTGCTTAGCATTATATTTATTTATTTTTTATTTATTTTTTGGGGGGGTCAGGTCGTGGAGCCTGAACTCTGGGTCTGGGCGCTGTCCCTCAGCTCTTCAGCTCAAGGCTAGCGCTCTACCACTTGAGCCACAGTGCTACTTCCGGCTTTTTTCTTTTTGCTTATGTGGTGCTGAGAAATCGAACCCAGGGCCTCAGGCATGCAAGGCAAGCGCTCTACCACTGAGCCACCTTCCCAGCCCCCATTATATTTATTTTTATTGGACTGTGTGCTCTACATTATTTTTTTATGTGGTACCAAGGACTCGAACCCAGGGCTAGGCAAGCATTTTACCACTAAGCCACATTCCCAGCCCTCTACATTGTTTTAGCTGCATTTAGATGAGGTAAAAGCCAAGCTGAAGGAGAGCCTGAGTTCCACCATCACCTCACGTTTCTCACCAATGAATTCCAAGCATCTCACATCAACCCAGGCAGGCATTGAGTTCAGGCAATGGGGAGACAGACCATGGAGAACAGAGAAGCTCACTGCTCACTCAGGAAGTGCCCTCCCCAGTGTTCCATGTTGGGGGGGGGGTAAAGGGGGGAAAAGCCCAAGGCATGAGCATTTCAGAGGAACTTTTCTGTCTTCTCACCTCTTGCCACGACTTCAGGGGGCCATGGCACCTGATAGGATGCCAAAGGGGAAAGGGGAGAACTGAAGACTCTTTTAGAGTTCTAGTTGAAGGGACCAGAGGGGTCCAGAGGGCTTGCTATTGTTTCTTCTCCAGAGATGGGCCAGCTGCATCACCTCCCAGAGCAAGGTTCTTGTAAGCGGTACACCTGTGTCTGTCTTAGGGCTATTAAAGTGAAAATGGGAGGCTTCCGTAAATAACTCACAGAATGATGGCGCCTACTTGTAACCCACACAGCACTGCCTCTTTCAGCAAACCGGGATTTGAAATCTGGTTTTAGACAAAAGACTATAGAGAAGGTGAGGTAGTATCTTTTGCAAAAGGATCCAAATTGAAGTACCAGGCAACCAGGGGATTGGGGGCTGTGTACCTGCCACCTACAATCCAGGAGAAAGGAGATTCATGGGAGGTGTCCCCCGTATTCATATCCCTTTGGGTTCCAGCAGCTCCCTCTTTTCCGTCCATCTATTCATTCAAAGATGACTTGTTTGGTTATTGCTGTTTTTGGAGACAATCTTGCTATGTAGCCGTACTCACAACCCTCTTGCCTCACCTTCCTGGGTGCTGGGATTATCGGTATGAACCACCACATCCAGCTCTGAGTTGTACTTCGAGGTGGCGCCCCATCTTCCCCCTGAGCCTTGCACTACTTACTCTCAATTTCCCACTCAGTAAACAGCTGTGTGGCCTGGAGCCACTTACTCCAAAGGTCTGCACCCCAAGTTAAGTGACTAAGTCATATCCTTTTCCAGATTCTAAGCCTTGGACACAGGGACAAGACTTTGTTCTTCCTGGTTGCCATCACCCTATCAGGGAGCTTACAACTTCCCCTCCCACAAAATCAATCTGATGTCAAAAACACTTTATTATCATTTCCTGGATTTACAGTGTATGTCTTCATTACAATCATCGGTGCAATAAATACACAAGGGCGAAACAGACCATCATCACAGTGGCCTCAATCCAAAAGGCACAGGGCCTGAGGGGTGCTACCAACCCCAGTGCTTCCCCAAGATTAGTCGGGGAGAGTTTTCAGAGAGTGTAGGCCCTTAACGTGAAACAGGATTGAGAATCTATACAGCAAATCCTAGAATATTTCTTAAAGTGACAGCTACAGATTTTCCTGAATGATACCAGAAAATAGTAAGCAGAATCAAGAGGCTCAGGAGCCTCTGTGAGAGGCAAAGGGAAGATTGCAGTAAGACAGGGCCCTCCCTAACCGTTTCACTTCTGGGCAAGTCTCTCCTCTCTCAAAACGTATCCAGGAATAGAGAGTGTTTGGAAAGGCAGTTTCATGGCTCTGGGGCAGTGTATGCTGGTTTCTGAGTGATGGCATTGGACCATGGCCAAGAAGCTACTTAAATCATGTTGCCTGGAGGTGGTCTTAGCTGTCACCCCAGGATATCATCCCAGATATACATATGAAATCCCACCAGCCACCCATAACTCTGCCTAGGGAAATAGACCACAGAGACATAGGGCTTCATCACTATGAAAAAGTTGTAGCAGCAGAGGAGGATTTTTGTTTTTGTTTTTTTGTTTTTTTTTCAAGTTACAGGGAAGACTAGATTTAAAAAAAATAGATCTTATAATGTATACTTCAGAGCCAAGTGTCTCAGGTTTATAATCCTAGCTACTTAGGAGGCTGAGATCTAGAGAAGTACAGTTTGAAGTCAGTCCAGACAGAAAAGTCTGCAAACCTCCATCTCCAAAATAATCAGCAAAAAGCAAAGCTGGAGGCATGGATCAGGTAGTAGAGTGCCGGCAGAGCAGGCAAGCCGAGCAAATGTGAGGCCCTGAGTTCAACCCCAGTACTAGCAAAAAAAAAAAGAAAGAAATTTAAGCTTCAAGAGAACATTCCATGCTGTCAAAATGAGAAGGGGAATCAGGAGATTTCTGTAAACTGCAAGGAACTAGCAATTAGGGTGATCTCTACAGGGTTCTCCTCTCTTTGAGAGGGAAATGAAGAAGGAATCAAGTCTCAGAAACTACCGTGTGGCTGAGGAGGAAGAACTCAGAGAATCTTAGTAACATTCTATGAACACTGATCCTTCCATTATCACTGGACTATGCCAGCCCCTGCTTGTACAGACATCCTCACAGAGGAAGGAAGTCCTGATTCCAGGTTGGCAGTAAGGACCCCACAGAAGTCGCAGAAATGAACATTCTGGTAAAAGAGCCAAGGCTCTACAATCATTTTTACTTCTGCCCATTTCCCATTGGCTCAAAAGCAGATTGGGTCATCTGAGAACTCATGACTCCTGTCAGAAAAAGAAAGCAACTCCTCTTCAAGGAATGGCCCAATTCTAAAACAGGAAATACTACAACTGCCTGTAGACAGTTGACTGTGGCCTGATAAACAACTTGTAATTCCAGTTTCTCCTCAAAGGAGTTTCCCTATTCTCTCTCCCTTCTTCGTCTCCTCTCTCCCCACTTTCTCTCTGCCTCCCTTCCATTACCAACAAGAAACAGAACTTGAGGCCACCTTGCTCTAAGGTCCAATCAGTGTGTCTGACCCAAAGGTCAGACTTGGACTCGCCCAATATATTCAGGTCATCTTGTGTTTTCATTTTGCTTTCTGATACCCTGATCTCTTTTGTCTGGTTACACTGAAGAGTTGGAGAGAAAAGATGGAGTTTCAAGGGAGATGATGACTGCTGAGGAAAGTGAGTTTTGAAAGTATCGCCTAAGCAGAGAGTACACATTCTAGTCGGAAAACTTGGAGAAGATGCAGAATTTCAAGGACAGTTGAAAGCATACCCACCGAAGTCCTGGACCGAGGTATTTTCCAAACGTAACCACCACCTACCAGAAGGTGGCTTGGTTTGTGGCCGTCAATCAAGCACTTTTAGCCATCTCTCACCCAACAATCAAGCTGTCCCATCTGTGGCTCACACTGGGGTGACTGACACCAGGGCAAAGGGGCAGCCAGCAGGAGGCCCCCCCACAAGGGTCTGGGGTGTTTACAGGTGGAACTCCAGGAAACATCTTGAGGTATATCAAGTGTCTGGAGAGCCAATGTGCATTGTCCAAGGCAGGGTCCTTCCTTGGACTTTCAGGAGTGCCACGGACCTCAGGCATGGGCCTCCATCTCCTTCTTGATGGCTGGTTTGTAAATGACTCCTTTGCTGTCACCTTTTTTGTTACTAGAACACAAAGAACACATGGATTGTGAGTCACAGAGGAGCCAGAACCCAGAGCAGCCAGACCCAGGCCTGGAATGAGGCAAACTCCTTTCTTTGGGGCCTTTTTTCAATTCTTCAGTTCTTAGAAATATCTTCCCTCGGGGCTGGGAAGGTGGCTCAGTGGTAGAGTGCTTGCCTTGCATGCCTGAGGCCCTGGGTTCGATTCCTCAGCACCACATAAGCAAAAAGAAAATAGCCAGAAGTGGTGCTGTGGCTCAAGTGGTAGAGCGCTAGCCTTGAGCTGAAGAGCTGAGGGACAGCGCCCAGGCCCAGAGTTCAGGCCCCATGACCGGACCACCCAAAAAAAGAAAAAAAGAAAGAAATATCTTCCTTCCCCCGAGCATTAATCAAACAACTTGTTTCTTTAATGCCTACAACTTCTAGACCTGCACTTTGAAGAAAATCTCAAACTGTTAACTCCCATAATTCCTAGAAGTCTTTTTTTTTTTTTTACTTTTTTTTATACAAAGGAAGAAAAAAAGTTTGTCTGAGAAGAAGTCACATGTGATAATAAAACCTGAACAAAAGGTATTAATAGCTAATGTGAGGGAGAAGTCAGGTTTTCCTCCATTTTTATTTCTGCTTTTTCTTAGTAAGAAGATAGCTTTCCTGCCAGGTACTGGTCACTCATACCTATAATCCTACTGCTCAGGAGGCTGAGATCTGAGGATCACAGTTCAATGCCAGCCTAAGCAGAAAAGTCTGTGAGACACTTTATTTCCAATTAAACCATCAAAAAAGCTGGAAGTGGAGCTATGGCTCAAGGAGAAGAGCGTCCGCCCTTTGGGATATAGGAGAACTCTAGCTCAGGGCCCTGAGTTTGAGCCCCAGTACTGGCACCAAAAAACAACAACAAAACAAAATCAGTTTTTTTTTCTAAACTCAGTTTTGCTGCTCCTATTAGGCACAAATCCCCAAACCACGAGACTTGTCCATGCTGCAGGGTAATTAGCAACGGCTCATTAACGAGGCTTCTACGCACATCTCCAAGGCCTGGGCAGTGACCTTGAATGACCAGTGTCTCCTGGAAGGAGTCTGAAGCCCTGGTGTTTGGGAGAACAGCTTGCTAGGGGAGGCATCCAGACGATGGAGGCTCTTTCTTCCCTTAGTCTGCCTTTCCAGGCATGCCATCATGGGCCCATGAATCACCCCTTCCTGACCCACTCACCTCTTCTTCCTTCTGAAAAGCCAAATGGACACTGCCAGGACAATGCAGATGCCGAGAACACCAGCCAGGGCCACGGAAAGGATGATGCCTGGTGAAGAGGCAGGGGGCACAAGTTACGCTCTTCTCTCCCCCTCATCTCTTCCCACAGTGGGCAGGGGTAGGTGCATCATGTGCTAGCATCCTTGGTAAAAGATCATGGCCCCATCTCGCTTCTCAAGATTCTAGCCTTTGGCTTAGTAGACTGGCTGGCGTAGGCAGCCATTTGCAAATTGTAGTAGTTTTTCCAACAGGGTTTCTCAAAGATGCACAAAGATCAGCAGAAGAGCTTGTTCAAAATAGAGACTTTCCTCAAGCCTAACCCTCAAAAGAGACTCAGATTCCATCTGTTTGATGTGGGTCTCAGGAATCTCTATTTTAACCAAACACCTCAAGCTGATGGTGGTGCATGAGGTCTGTGAGCCACACTTTGAGAAACCCTGGGCTACAGAATCACCTACTTAATTCATCTTTGCTCAATGGGTTGAAATCCCATTGGGATGCCTCTATCAGTTTGGCCTCTTAAATTGCATTGCACAGTCCTAAACAGTGCTCCAAACCCTAGCCATCGCCCAGGCCACATGGCCAGTCACCTGACCTCCACACTGGGCTGAGGTATGTTTTACAGGTAGTGTCCCCCTCCCATGACCTAACAGAAGGTCTCCAAATAGGCTGGGGTGTACACATGCTGTAGAGTGATTAGACTTTTCATTAGCAGAACATTGGACTGGCAGTTCATCTTTGAATTAAGAGGGTAAGACTGATTGATAGTAAAGAGGGGGACCAAGAGCCAGAGCGACAGCCAGAGAAGCAGAAAGGATTGGCCAGAAGGATCACAGACCCCAATCACACTGAGAATCACCGGTTCACCCATCGGAAGCATGCACAGCCTGCCGGCCACGTACCCACACTCAGTCCTGTGTCCGGAAGCATTCCCACTTAACAAGGGGAGGAAAGATTGGAAATTAATCCGGGGTCAAACCATACCGCAGGTGACTAGCGTGTTGAGAGGCTCGCTCTTTTTTTATTTGGTGAGTGGTCACCCTTGGCTCCCAGATGGGGAACAGAGGCTGCCTCCACAGGGATCTCCACTGTGACACCCCAATCCCTTTGCCACTGAGATCCTGTGAGAACTCTGGCCAAGTGTGAGATGCCAGTAGAGGGCAGAGGCTCAACTCAATGCTTGAGCCACTCTACACCTGGGGAACCAGACTTCTCTTCTATCCTGTGGATAGGAGAGTCTAGCTGGTACTCAGGAGCTATCAGCCCTCTGTCCCTGGGCTTCCATCCTTCTATAATTTTATGCGCATCCCTGGCCAGGCTGCCCCAGGTGAACTCAGGCTGCTGTGAAGCATGAGCACCACCAACATGGAGAGGACAGGGTAGCCTATTGCGGTCCTTGCTGGCCATCACCAGTAGATCATCCTCCCTCATCCCCATCCCAAGTGGCAGATAAGAGTGGCTCCCCAGCTCAGATTCCCTGCCCCAGGTCTTCTATAACCTGAACACGGAGAGCAGTCTGTGACTTAGGGAGGTGCTGGGGTCTAGAGTCTTCCCCTAGGGAAAGCATCATGTATTTGTATAGCACACACTCAGTCCCTGCCTAGCCAGGGGCCTCTGCAGAGTACAACTTGGTATTAGGTTTTTGGTGGTGGTTGTTTTTTTTTTTCCTCTTGTTTGTTTTGTGCCAGTCCTGGGGCTTAAACTCAGGGCTTGGGTGTTATACCTAAGCTTTTCGGCTCAAGGTTAGGGCTCTACCACTTGAGCCACAGCTCCTCTTCTGGCTGTCTGGTGGTTAAATGGAGGTAAGAGTTGCATGGACTTTCCTGCCCAGGCTGGCTTTAAACATGATCCTCAGATCACAGCCTCCTGAGTAGCTAGGATTACAGGTGTGAGCCACCAATGCCTGGCTTTGGGGCTTGATTTTGTTTAAAATACCCAAGACCGGGGCTGGGAAGGTGGCTCAGTGGTAGAGCGCTTGCCTTGCATGCCTGAGGCCCTGGGTTCGATTCCTCAGCACCACATAAGCAAAAAGAAAAAAGCCGGAAGTGGCGCTGTGGCTCAAGTGGTAGAACGCTAGCCTTGAGCTGAAGAGCTGAGGGACAGCGCTCAGGCCCAGAGTTCAGGCCCCACGACCGGACCCAAAAAAAAAAAAAATACCCAAGACCTTGGGCCTTGGCATAGTAAACAAACAAAAGAAAAGGCCTGGCCATGGTTTCTTTCCCAAGCTCTTTGATAAAATACCCTTTGGTTCTTTCTTCTTAAATCTCTAGACCCTTACAGTGAATCTTTACTTCCATATCTGAATATCTGAGAGTCATCGAGGGGCCTCCACGGTTGAGCAGCCTTCTTCCGTGGCTGGAGGTAGTACCTTTGTGCTGTGGTCTTAAGTTTGCTGAGCAAAATCTGTGGGGAGCAAGGTCCCCAGATGGGATTCTCCTCTAGGCTACAGAGCCAACATGGTGGCTTCTTTGAAGGGACAGTCCGATTCCTCCCATCCCCTGTGCACTGCTTTAACTGGACTAGGTCCTGTCAACAACTGCACCGTTTAATCCAGTACTCTAGCCCAGGCTTGTACTTCTTGAAGTCAATGAGATGAGCCCAGGCAGACTAGGAAAGCTCCAGAGATGGGCACAAGAGTCATTTTCAGCTAACACTTCGATGCAGCCCAAATAAAAAAACTTGATCGAGCAAGCTAGGTGCCTGAGCTGCTAAGGGACAGGAATGCTAGTGGAATGTCATCTAATAATCATGTGAGTGCCTGCTCAGATAGGAAAATGTGGATGGAAACCTGCCCTGCCAGTGAAGGCAGTGCCAACCATCAAGGAAGCAAGGGCCTCTCTGCATAGGGGTTTGGGTCCCACTGGAGGCAGAGTCAAAGCATCTGCTAAGAAAGGGGGACAGGGAAATCCTACGAGAGCACAGAGAGAGCTACCAGGGCAATTGAAGAACTACAGCCAGGAGAGAGAAGCCAAGCCTGTAATTCATAGCATTAGCCAGGGAGGACCTGGGCTACCATAGAGAACCAGGCATTCAAGATGACGTGGGGAGGGGCAGAGCCAGAGAAAGTTATATATTCACATCACACAAAGAAGTGGCGTTATTTCTAACCAGGGATGAAGACAGGCAGTTCCTGCCAAAGAACAATGGGATAGGAAGAAATGGCAGCAGGCTGGGGAAGAAAGGGGAGGTCTCCTGAGCTTCCTAGTGGGTGGGGGGGGTACTGCTGGGCACACACAGCCTCCCTGGGTGAGAGTCAGGGTGAGCAGCAGCACATGGATGTACAACACATAAAGCACAGACATACAGAGACCTGGGCTGTCACACACCTGGTCTAGAAAGGGACAGACACCTGGAGAAGGTGGGCGCTTGCCTCAAGAGCCTTGCTACCTGTTCTGGCTGGCTCAGGAGCTGCTGTCTTCACTGGCGTCTGGCTGGACCAGGGATGCTGGTTCACTGGTTTTTGAGGTCTTCTGAAGCCTCAAGTATAAACACAGACAAGTCCAGCCCGAGGAACAAGTACTCATTAACACATCTTGGGGGTACCTGGAACAACAGTCTAGTATTTTCTAGCTCTGTTTTCTGATGGTGTAATGTACTCCTTTTTCTTTTCAAAGTCTTCTTTGAAAAGAGGGACTGTTTTTGTAGGTGCCAGATTATATAGCAAAAACATATACATTCGTGTATGCGTCTTTGACAGGCTCATAAATAAGAGAGGCTAGGAGAGTTTAGGATTACTAGGGTTCTAAGTACCTGAGATACAATTTAGGCTGGTAAGAACTCTTATTATGTGGTTACAAACCATAGAGTCAGTAAGTACAATGCTCGTGTTCTCTTTGAATAATGCTTCAGTTAAAAAAAAAAAGAAAAAGAAAAAAAAAGAAAAGCCAACGCGGACCCAAGCTCCAGTGGCTCACATTTATAATCCTAGCTACTCAGGAGGCTCAGATCAGAGGGTCAAAGTTTGAAGTCAGCCTAGGCAGAAAAGTTTAGGACACTTACTTCCTCTTAGCCAGCAAAAAGCCAAAGTAGAGGTGTTGGCTCAAGTGGTAGAGCACCAGCCTTGAGTAGAAAAGCTAAAGGCAGCACCTAGGCCCTGAGTTCAAGCCCCGGTATTAGGGGGAGAAAAAATAAAAGACACTACCAGGTGACACAAGGGAATTAATTTCATGTAATTATCATCGGGCTTTGTCTCCCAAATTGCAGCAATGCAGGCCCAGAACACAGAGTTACATTGTTCTGAATCCTTGAGCCAGCAGGACGCGTACAGTGCCAGCCCCTGGTGCCATCAGCTGCCTTCGGTGGCTCAGGCTGCCTGTGCTGAGGGAGGGATGGGCAGTGGGAATGGAGCTGTAATCCCCGTCAAGCCAGAGTGACAGCACCCTAGTGTCACTAGGCAACGTCCTCCCATGCCTTGAAATCTTCACAGGAAGTCTGATCTTTTTCATTTCTCAATGTGTGATTTTTAACACTATTGGGGGAAAAAAGCGATACATAATAACTACAGTTTGACAAATGGCTAGGCCCAGGAGAAAGTCATTGGACAGAAATGACACTGGCGAGAGGAGAGACGCAAGTCAGTTACATGCTTTCCGCAAGTTCTTAATGAGCACCCAGCAGCGCCAGGCATACAGATTGAGATGTCAAGACTCCCTTTCGAAGGAGCTCCAGCGTATGTGTTTAATTTATGCCTTTGCTTTGCCTTCCTTTCCCTTTCCTCCTCTTCCTCCCCTCCTCTGGCCTCCCCTTCTCTCTTTTCCTTCCTGCCAGCTACCCTTCCTCCCTCTCTTCCTCCCTCTCCTTTCCTTCTTTCCTCTCTTTCCCTCTTCCTCCCTCCCTTTTCTCCCTCTGTCCTTTCCTCTTCTCCCTTCCTCCTATCCTCCCCCTTCCTTTTCTTCATTCCTCTATTCCACTCTTCCCTTTCTTAACTACATGGTAATAAAATCAAAATTACCCTGGTGTGTGCTGGGTCCTACAGCAGAGATGAATGAGGTAGTCTGGCTACATTAAGGGGACTGTCATCCTCTCCAGGGGAACAGAGGGGACTTCTGGGAAGATGTGATTGGAAGGGGGAGAGGGCCACTCCTTCAAAAGGACTAGAGCATACACCTGCCCTGCTGGGGAGGCCCTGCAGTTGGTGGAGGCTGAGGCCAAAAGGATGGCTACCACAGGAAGCTGGTGCGGGAAGATGGCTGGAGTGCTCCCAAGGGCAAGTCCAGCCTCTGCCCGACCTCTTTTCCTGCTCTTGTCTCTGAACATGGTTGGCTGTGGGCCAGAGGCTGGTCATTAGAAGCAGAGGAACGCACATAGTCTCTCCACCCACATAGTGCTCGGTTGTGCTGGGCTCAGGATACGTGTGCACTGGGAAAGACTGGGGCATGCCTTCTCAGCACATCTGATCAATGCTGTGGGCTCTTCAGCACCGCCTCCCCCGCCCTCACACAACCCAGCGGTGGGGATTTGAGGGTAGCAACTTCACTGGTTACTCACTTGGATACTTTGGAAGAATTGATGATATTCTTCCATCGACTCCCTTTTATTTATAAACAGAAACTTAAAGAAACACAAGGTCAATAACCATAGCACATAGATTCTTATCTCAAGAAAAATTAATTAGCCATCTTAGCTGGGTAAGAGTGCTTTCTCTTTTCAAGGGTTTCTACAACTACGCAGGTCCCTCAGGGACAAGCAGATTCAAACCATGCTCTTCTACACAGGAGCCCTCCCTCCCCCGCTTGCCTGTCCAGCATTCTTGTTCTAAGTGCACTGCCACTGGCACTGGCTCTAGCTGCCCAGCGGGTGACATGCAGTTGTTTAGAGCAGTTCTGCCAGAGACATGATTATAGAAACTTTTGGCCTTCTGACCCTCCAGCTATCTTTGTCCTGCTATGTTGAAAAGAGGCTCTAGAAGCCAGGCATGGTGGTTCATGCCTGTACTCCTGGCTCTGTAGGAGATAGAGGGAGGTGGATCACCATCCTTGGTTGGAGCAGGCAAAAGAACAAGACATTGTCTGGAAAATAACTAAAGCTGAAAGGACTGGGCTCAAGAAATAGAGCACCTGTCTAGCAAGCCTGAGGTCCTAAGTTCAAACCCCAGAACTACAAAGAAAATAGTATTTATGGTCTTGAGATCAGAATGGTGGTGCCAAACTCAGAATTAAGCCAGAGCTGTAAGTCTCAGCTCCCAGGATTGATATCTGTTTAGGTAGTCTTTGTTCTGTCTTCACCTAGCTCACCAGATTCCATGAAACCTAAACTGGTCCCCAGGTGAGGCCCCTCTCCAGGATCTCACCTTGGGGACAAGCACAGGTGTTGCTTGGAAAAGTTACTTTTCAAGAGTCAAAAAAAAAAAAAAAGTGTCCATCATGACTTGTACCTTAGGTTTGCCAAGTGCCAGTAGCTCATGCCTGTAATCTTAGCTCTTCAGGAGGCTGAGATCTAGGGAATGTGGTTCAAAGCTACCCCAGGCAAGAAAGTCTGTGAGGCCCAAAATATCAGTAATAACAGGTATAGGCAAACCTGCTGTAGGGTGTGGCTAGACTGTCCTCTGTTTCTGAGCATAGTCAAAAGAAGTAAAGGTGAACAAATGCATCTGGTGAGACCTCAGATCCTCTCCCTAAACCTCTTGAACTCTCTCCTAGAGCATTTCCTGTCTGTTACTTTTCTCATGGCACAATGTTTGGACTCCATACTTCTTGTAATTTCCTAAGGACATCCTAAATAAACAGAGACCCTCGTTCCAAAGTTGACTCAGTGGCAGAGTCTGTACATAGAGCCTCAGTTGCTCAAAGTTCATGCTGACAAACACGCTCCACCATAAACCCGCACAGGATGGTGGGATTCACTCCTTAGAGACTGCTTTTCCTTTGCTCCTTGGAAAGCATCCTTCTCTTCTCCCCAGGTGTCTAGGAAGAAGGAGGGGAGTACTCTGGCCACGTTTCTATAATCAGCCTCCAAATGAACAAGTTTGTTTTGGGATTGTCATGTCTCACCCCAAGGAGAAAGCTGAGCCCAGCCTGGGCTCCCAAAAGCTGCATCTCTGGTTGCATCATGCAGGAGAGCCAGCAAAGCTGCAGTCAAGCTCTGATTTTAATGTCCAAAGCCCGCAGTTAGTCTGCAAGCTTCTGCCTAGAACCCTCTTGATCTACCCCAGCTAGTGTGGAGAATCTACTGAAGCACTCTGCTACAAACCTGCCTGTGCTGACCAGCCTACAAGCAGCTACTTAGACCCGAATCAGTCTAAGAAGATGGCTAATTATTCCCAAGACCATGGTCCATCGTTACAAGTGGGTGTTACTTTTAGATGTCATAATCAAGTTCCTGCCAGGTTTCTTCCGATCCTCTGTAACTGCCCTCAAATATTGCCCCTGCAATGTAAAGTCAGGATTGGAAGTAGTTAGAATCATGACATATCACCACTGAAAGGACTCTTCTATCACTTCTCCAGCCTGGCACGTTGTGGCTAAGAAAACTAAGGAGAAAGAAAGGATGATCTTGCACACATCATACAGTCAGGATAAAGCAGTGAGGCCTTGAACCCAGATCTCCTGACTGCAGAGACAGGATGTGTAAGTTACCCTGCTCCCAGGGAATCCGTACACAGGCTCAGAAAACAGCTGATACTAGAATCAGAGGTAAAATTCTAACTTATCTTTGTGGGCAGTTTCCCTCAATTTTAGGCAGACTTGAATGTTATTTAAGAATTGAAGTAGGGGGGCTGGGAAGTTGGCTCAGTGGTAGAGCGCTTGCCTTGCATGCCTGAGGCCCTGGGTTCGATTCCTCAGCACCACATAAGCAAAAAGAAAAAAAAAGCCAGAAGTGGTTCTGTGGCTCAAGTGGTAGAGCGCTAGCCTTGAGCTGAAGAGCTGAGGGACAGTGCTCAGGCCCAGAGTTCAGGCCCCACGACCGGACCCAAAAAAAAAAAAAAAGAATTGAAGTAGGGCTGGCCTAACTGGCTCATGCCTGTAATCCCAGTTATTCAAGAGGCTGAGACCTAAGGGTTAAAGTTTAGAGCCAGCCTAGTCAGAAAAATCCATGAGACTCCCATCTCCACATAACTAGAAAATAAAACTGGGCTAGAGATGTGGCTCAAGTTAGAGTGCCAGCAATGAACAAAGAAGTCAAGCGAGAACAAGACACCCTGAGTTCAAGCCTCAGTACTGGCACAAGAATATAAGAATTGAAGAAGCTCCTTTTAACACTAAATATGTCACGGTCTACTTAAAAGAATAGGAGAGAGAACGCTGTATCTAGATCACATGGGGGAGGATCCTGGGAATTTGGATCATTTCCGAGAAAAGTGGGTAGTTCTAGTCTTAGAGATTCTCAGTTTTTAAGAGAGGCTATTGCACAGATTCAATTTTCAGATTGAGAAACAGGGAAAGAAGGACAGGAACCTTAAGTAGTGCTATCTGGAAGGAAGACAAAATAGACCTTTGGGGCCAGTTCTTAAGTAATTGACAGAGGACGTAATTCAGATCACATGAACGGATTGAGTCAGAAGTAAGTTTCTAACCTTCCTGACAAGGGCCTGGAAGCAGTCTTCATCTACACAACTGCTCTGTGTAGGTGGTGGTTATAATATAACATAATAAGAAAGGAACAACAAGGAAAAAACGTTTACCCAGTAAAAGGAGGGGACATGGATTCCCCAATAGATGGGTTAATGGGCTGTCTTTAAATCCGAATATCTGGCCCAGTTGGTCCACAAGTGGCATGAGAAAAGGAAATGAGACTTGCACAGACCTGGTCTGCTTGGGGCCACTGAAGATCTCCCATGTTGGGAAAGGCACAAGAATCACCAGTGAGAAAGTTAGCTCAGAGTCTTGCAGAAAGAAGTGGGCTCTGAGAGCCCCCACATCCCTTTCCCCAAGCCCGGGGTTCCAGCAGCACTGAGGAGGCACTGAGCAGATAAAACTTATGCTCTTTGGGGAGTCCCAGAACTAAAAGGAACTATGAGTCTGCATAACAGTAGAAGTCAGTCAAACTACTAAGCTTTGTTCCATCTGAAATGTGTATGCTGGTGCTTATGAACTCTCCGTGAGGGTTAAACAAGGGTGTGAACCTAGGTGCTTCCTTGCCTGTGGGCCCAGCTTCATTAGCCCCGGAGCTCCACTGGCCATAGTCTCAAGTCATACCCATACTCTTACAAAGAAACATCACTGGACACTGATGGTCCTAGCTAGGCCCATGTGGGTGGCAGTAACCCTCCATGTCAAAAAAACCAAGAGTAAGCTGGGCAGTGGTGGCCCATGTCTGTAATCCTAGCTACTCAGGACACTAAAATCTAACCATCACAGTTCACATCCAACCCAGCCAGACAAATCTTCAAGACTCTATCGCTACTAAACCATCAAAAGAAAAAAAAATCTGCAACTTGGAGGCATGGCTCAAGTGATAGAGTGCTAGCCAAAAAGGCTGAAGGAGAGCTTAAGAACCTGAGTTTGAGCCCTTGTCCCAACACACACAAAACAAAAAGCCTAGAGTCAGAAATAAGCTAGTGTGATCTCATCCAGAGGGGCCTCCCACATGTCCTGGTATCATTCTTCAGGGCAAAGAACTCCCCAAGAACATCTGTTCCCCATCTGTGCGAGAGCTCTGGTCCCAGTGCCCTGAGGTCCTCGCCTGGGCTTTCTTACCAAGGCTCAGGGAAGCGGGGAGCAGTGCCCCCCCCCACACACACCACAGCTCCTCAGTGCCCTGGTACCTTTGACAGCCACAAGCTCTTAGCCAACCTGCTAAGGATACTGGTGTCAAGAGACTGGTTTGCTCCTGGTCCCCCCTCACCTTGTCGGAAGGAGATATACACCAGCCGCTCATCGAACTTCTGTACCTGCCGGAAGTTGTTGACCATTTCTCTGGGGGAAGGGTCATCCATGTGTGTGAAATACAGAGCTGTCTCCAAATCCAGCAGCTGAGGGGGAAAACGGATACATACCATGGAGGAGAATAATGAATGCTCTCTACAGGAGGCAACCGGGAGAAGCCTCTAGAGCCTGTGGTGTTCGGTGAGAGATGGTAGAAAACAGTGGGAAAGCCAGAGAACTGCGTCTCCCCACCTCTCTAACTCCAGGACTCCATAACTGGATTCCATTCCTGCCTGCCAACCTGCTCCTATTGATCATTCCAGAATCTGGACCCATAGAGGGCAAGCTGGAGGGACAATGACACCCATCTCCCAAAGCATTGGGGCCCACAATACAAGGTCACCTCCCAGGCCCACCTGCCTGCCCACAAGAAGGTGACGTAATTGGTTGCCAAGGCAACTGGGTTAGGATGTCTGCTGGTTCCCCCACACACACCTGTCACCACGCCCTCACTCCTGTCCTCCCACAGGCTGCCACTCATCTGGGATTTTTCCAGCTCAGAAGCTTGTAGTAAAGAGCCCGAGTGAGGAGGATGAGGCAGTATGGGGCACATTTAGATGATGGAGTAGAGAGGGATGAGCCATGACTTGGAACTCAGAAGATCTGATTTGGGGTCAGGTCTCAGAGGGGTAATGCCATGGGCATCGAACTCTACTTTTATCACCTCTGAAATGAGGGGTTCAGCAATGGCTCCTGAGGACTTGGTGGCCCAAGTTGGCACTAGACTCTGGGATTCCTAAGGGCAGCAATTCTCTCTCAGGGACTCTGCTATCATTCTAGCACCAGCTCATTATGTGGGTTAACCTGATACAGTCTATATTCTGCTACCAGGCTCTCCCCTACCTGGGAAGTTAATACTGTCCAATCACTAGGAGAGTGTGTGTGTGAGTGTGTGTGTGTGTGTATGTGTGTGTGTGTGTGTGTGTGTGTGTTCTGGGGCTTGCACTCAGGACCTGGGCTCTGTCCCTGAGAGTATTTTCCCCCTCAAGGCTAGTGCTCTATCACTTGAGCCAAAGCTCCATTTCCAGCCCTTTTTTTTTGGGGGGGTGGTTAATTGGAGCTAAGAGTTACACAGACTTTCCTGCCCAGGCTGGCTTTGAGCTGTGATCCTCAGATCTCAGCCTCCTACCTAGCTAGGATTACTGGCATGAGCCACCAGGGCCGGGGTTCCTTCCAACTCATTTAAAAGCACTATGAGACAAGTGCTCATTTTCCTAGCTTGAGCTGATAGCATCTTTTAAAGCTCAGCCTGTAATCTCTGCAGCATTTTCAGGCCCAAGTCCTGTTGTGTTAGGATTTGAATTGTTTTTCCAACGAAACTCTTAAGGGAAGAAATCAAATCACGGATTGCAACCCAGCAGATGGCAGAGACCACAATGCTACATAGACTCTAGCATGGACAGTTACCTGCTTCTGGGAAATTTGCACAGGGTTTCGGAAAACTGTCCAGAGCACAGTGGGGTGGCAAGGAGGGGTGGTCAGGGATCCTTCATAGCGGTAGAACTCATCCGGCTTCTCTGGAAGCAGTTCTTCAATGTTGAAGCCCGGGATGAGCATCTGTTGGCCTGGAGAGACATGGTGGGTTGATGGTGTCAGCCTTGCTGTCTCTAGCACAAGTGTAGCTGACAACAGTGACTGATCCTCCAATGGTGAACTTCTTTCTGGGCCATCTAGCCCAAAGACCTTGCAACAACCCTGTTCTCTACCCTCAGCTGCTCTTAGCAGATAGCACAGATAGCATCTGCCCCTGCCATTGTTTTCCTTAGAGTCACACACACACACACACACACACACACACACACACACACACACACACGGTATAGGTGACATCCTTATTCTAATAGTGAATAAGCATGTAAAGACCCTCACCTTTGTACTTTACATGTTGAAGATGGCTGAAGATCTTGTCATATGATGGATTGAAGGAGCCCATCTGCAATGGAGACCAGGCAGGTTGAGCTGGGATAGAATCGCCTTGCGGCTGAGCCACACTGACATTCACTATCAGAAGGGGACTGGAGGTATATAGCCACCACTGCTGAGATCCTCCCCAACAGGCCATCTTATGAGAACAATTAGGGTAGACCTGGAGGCCGTCTGGAGTTAGAGGATGGTTCTGACCTCTGATACCACATGGCACCCAGATTTCAGCTTAAGGCATCAGGCTGGAGTGTCCCAGGGCCATAAACATAGGGTGTAGGATGTGTTCCTGATTATATAAGAAGTGATCCTGAAGGCCACAGTCAGCATGTAACACAGAACTTAGGGGAGGGCTGGGAATGTGGCTCGGTGGTAGAGTGCATGAAGCCCTAGGTTCAATTCCTCAGTACCACATAAACAGAAAAGGCCAGAAGTGGCACTGTGGCTCAAGTGGTAGAGCACTAGCCTTGAGAAAAAGAAGCTCAGGGACAGTGCCCAGGCCCTGAGTTCAAGCCCCAGGACTGACCAAAAAAAAAAAAAAGCAACTTTGGGAAGCTCTCATCCCACAAGCCAGACAAGTGAGCAAGCACCCTGGGAAATGAACTATATGCTCTCTTGGTCAGTGGAGAAAATGCAAGCTAAGCAGGAGTCATTCCTGATTTCTAGGATTAAAGAATGCATGCCCATACAACAGGATGGAGCTTGGGTACTAGGATTGCACTCAGGACCTTCATGGGGCAGCACAATGGTTCCCCCAACCCCTTGCTGGTCTTTTGCAGCAGCTTGAGCCACGATCATACAACTAGGCTAAGACTTGTGTTTCTAATGTCAGACACGCCCTGGTGGCTCATGCCTATAATCCTAGCTACTCAGGAAGCTGAGGTCTAAGGATTGCATTTGAAGCCAGCCCAGGCAGAAAAGCCTGTGTAACTCTTCAATTAACCACCAAAAAGCCAGAAATGGAGATGTAGCTCAAATGGTAGAATGCCAGCCTTGAGCCCTAGTACAAAGAAAAGATGAGAAATACAAGAAGAAGGAGAAAGAGGAGGGGGGTGGGGGAGAGGAAGAGGAGGAGGAGGAGGAAGTAGAGGAGGAGGGGGTAAAGAAGGAGAAGCCATGGAGAAGCCAAAAGAGAACATTTCCTTCAAGATATGGCCCTTATTACTAAGGGGTATGCATAGAACAAAGTGCCAAACCCAGATTTCACCCCTGCTCCAAATTTCACATTAAAAAACTCTTCAAGAATTTCTTACCTCAATGAGAACTGCAAGGACAGCGAGACCTTCTGACTTGTCACTGGCGGTGCTGAAGTTGGGGTACAGATCTGAATTATAGTGGACAATGTGCAGCTGCAGTAGGAGAGAAGCCAGCCATCAGAGGACAAGGGACTCACACCAGGAGACTTAGACCTTTCCCCCTAATCTGCAGATAGCAAGTTCCACCAGGACTGTGTCTATTTGATTCACTCATTGATTCCCCAGTGTCTGATAGGCTGTCTGGAAAGTTCCAGAGGGGCAATAGACTTGGATGGATGGATGGATGGATGGATTTTGTATTAACCATGAAAAGACTTGCATACTTTGGAGTTCTTCCCTCTTATGAGTTTTCCCAATTAGTTTGGAAAAAGTGGCCTCTGGGCTCTTGATCTGGAAACAGTGTGTCAGGGCAGGAAACCTCTAGGCATAATTTAATCGTAATTAATACAACCTAAGACACATGTGTCTAGTCCTCTAGTGGCAAAAGTCACTGCCAGAATTCCATTTATTTATTTGTTTGTTTATTATGCCAGTACTAGAACTTGAGCTCAGGGATTTGTGTTTTCCCTGGACTTTTTTGCTCAAGGCTGGTACTCTACCACTTGAGCCACACCTCCACTTCCAGCTTTTTGGTGGTTAACTGGAGATAAAAAGTGTCACAGACTTTTTTGCCCAGGCTGGCTTTGAATGGAGATTTTCAGATCTCAGCCTCCTGATACAGGTGTGAGCCATTGAGGCCCATCTCAACATAAAGATTTTATCAGCCTTAATGTAAAAGGTCACAAATCAAGAATGGTATGCCATGAATACAGACTTCTAACTTCACAAAAATAAAAATTTAAATTGTGCTTTTTTCAGAGCAGTTGTAGGTATTATGTATTATTATTATTAGTGCTGGTCCTGGGGCTTGAACTCAGGGCCTGGGCACTGTCCCTGAGCTTCTTTGACTAGTGTAGCACTCTACCTCTTAAGGCAGAAAGCCCACTTATGGCCTTTTCTTTTCTTTTCATTTCTTTTTTCTTTTTGTCGGTCATGGGGCCTGAACTCTGGGCCTGGGCGCTGTCCCTTAGCTCTTCAGCTCAAGGTGAGAGCTCTACCACTTGAGCCATAGCACCACTTCCAGTTTTCTGAGTGGTTTATTGGAACTAAGAGTCTCATGGACTTTCCTGCCCAGGATGGCTTTGAATCATGATCCTCAGATCTCAGTCTCCTGAGTAGCTAGGATTACAGGCGTGAGCTACCAGTGCCTTGCTTATATGTGTTATTATCAAAGAGAAGTTTTTGAGAAATTCTGGGTTTTCAAAGTCTAATTATGTATTAATTACACCAAAAATCCCACTGATGTTTAACCTAAAGGTGGTCCCATCACCTGACCTTCAGAAACTCTTTTTTTTTTTGTTTGTGTGTGTGTTTTTTTTTGGGGGGGGTCCAGTCTTGGGGCCTGAACTCTGGGCCTGGGCGCTGTCCCTCAGCTCTTCAGCTCAAGGCTAGCGCTCTACCACTTGAGCCACAGCGCCACTTCCAGCTTTTTTCTTTTTGCTTATGTGGTGCCGAGGAATTGAACCCAGGGCCTCATGCATGCAAGGCAAGCGCTCTACCACTGAGCCACCTTCCCAGCCCCCAGAAACTCTTTTTACTAAGTAGGTCTCCATGTTTTTAACACATGAATTTTTATCTATTCTTTGCCTTTCAGACTATGATACCTGAATGTTTTTTCCTATTTTCTTTTCTTGTTTGTGGAATGATTTTTTTTTTTTTTTTGTCTGTTGTGAGGCCTGAACTCTGGGCTTTGGTGCTGTCCCTCAGCTCTTCAGCTCAAAGCTAGCGCTCTACCACTTGAGCCACAGTGCCACTTCTGGCTTTTTCTGCTTATGTGGTGCTGAGAAATTGAACCTAGGGCCTCAGGCATGCAAGGCAAGTGCTCTACCACTGAGCCACCTTCCCAACTCTCTCTTTTGTTGAATACAGCTTAATACCTTCATTTTTTTTTGAAGGGGGCAGGGCCTTGTTGCTTACTTAACTTCCTTGCTCACAGCTGGTGCTCTACCACTTAAAATACCCTCTAGCACTGCTTTTTGTTGATTATTGTAGAGATGGAGTCTCTTGCACTTTTATGCCAAGGCTGGCTTCAAGATCCTCCAGATCTCAGTCTCTTGAGCAGTTAGGGTTGCAGGCATAAGTCATTGGTGCACGGCACACATTTTAAACTTTTTAAGTGGCTCTTTTGAATTTTTTTAAACTACATCAAATTACTCCTTCCTTTTAGCTGTTCTCTAGTAAGGACTTTTAAGAGGCCCTTACCTCACCATCTTTCCCCCTACAGGATGAAGCCTGCCACATTCCCACACCATCATGTATGGCATGGGTTTGAGAAACAGAGGAATTCTGCCCTGGGTACTTGTCTTTTTTTTTTTTTTATAGCAGATCTTTAAGCTTGTAGTTTATCTGAGCACTTAGCATATTTAGAATAAATCAAGGAGTAAAGATTAAGCCAGGCTGATGGGAATTCTCTGGAATGGAGTTTTATGGCTTTTACTGGGTAGTCCAATATTCCTATAATACCCAGCTATTCAGGAGGTGAAGTTGGTAAATCAGAGTCCAAGACCAGCCCTGAGCAAAAAGCATGAGACCCTATCTGGAAAATAAATGAAAGCAAAGACATCTTGGGGATGGGGCTCAAGTGATAAAGGGTTTGCCTAGCAAGCACAAGACCCTGAGTTCAAACCTTAGTCCACCTTAAAAAAAAAAAAAGTCTTCTATAATTCTATAGTCGCCTGGTGTGGTGGCTCTCGCCTGTAATCCTAGCTACTCAGGAGGCTGAGATCTGAGGATCACGGTTCAAAGCCAGCCTGGGCAAGAAAGTCCACAAGACTTATCTCCAATAAACCATTCAGAAAAAGAAGTGGTGCTGTTACTTAAATGGTAGAGCGCTAGCCTTGAGCTGAAAAGCTGAGGGACAGCATCCAGGCCCAGAGTTCAAGCCCCACAACTAACCAAAAAAAAAAAGTTATAGTTCTATAGTCTCCATCCTATAGAGCCACTGTTTACAAAATGTCTCCGTAGAGAAATTGCCACTTATGGTCACCCTGATGTCTTTTCTCTGGTATGAGCATTTATGGCTAATGATCACCAGGCTCCTGGTCTGATCATTGGCTTGATTACTAGAAATATTTTTAAATGTATGAACCTTCCTAGTCTACACCCTAACTCTTTATCCCCTATGAGGGAAACAGAATCCTCAACATTGCAATTAACCTGGAAGAAATTGCAGTTGTTGAGATTCAGGGAAGGGCCTGCTCTGAACTGTGTGAGCCTCCAGTAATGCCAATTGACTGGGCCAGAATGCTATCGCCTCCACACTAGTAACCAGACCTGTAATTAGCCTGAGACATTAAGCAGTTCAGCAGTTATGAACAGAAGAGAATAGCCATGCCATAAACCTATCATGGGCTGTGGCTGGCTGATCAGTAGCACTTAACTCCTTCTGTTTATTTCCCTGTAAACACTCAGAGCACACTCTCCCCCCTCCCCCCCTTTCCTCCTCCCTCCTCTCCCACCCCCAGCTCAGGGCCACAGGTCTGGAATGGAGCAACACCTCACCCCATTGCATGCTTGTTTTTCTGTAACATAGCACAACAATGCTGTGCTGACGTTCCAAACAACCTTCAGCGAGTCTCTGATAGCTGTGAAATCTTTACCTTATAAAAGTCAGTCATCCTTCGATTTGTGGCTAAGTGAAAAAGTGGCCCTAGACTAAACTACTGTCCCTATGTTCTCAAGCATAACCCCCTGGTCCAGGGACAGGAGAAGAGATGAGGTGGGGCAGATATTTGTAGACAGCATAACATGTGAATAAAGACTGTATTGGGAAGCCGGGTGCCAGTAGCTCACGCCTGTAATCCTAGCTACTCAGGAGACTGAGATCTGAGGATCATGGTTCAAAGCCAGCCCGGGCAGGAAAGTCCATGAGACTCTTATCTCCAATTAACCACCAGAAAACCAGCAGTGGCGCTGTGTATCAAGTGGTAGAATGTTAGCCTAGAGCTGAAGAGCTGAGGGACAGTGCCAGGGCCCAGAGTTCAAGCCCCTGGACTGACCAAAAAAAAAGACTGCATTGGGGCCCACTGGGCCATCTGGGAAGCCTAGTCTTCTCAAAAGCATCACTTAGTAAGAGATAGAGACAAACTCAGCACGTTCAAGGGAAGGAAGGGTCCAGGACACCACAGATGAGCAGTAGAGTGGTTGCTCCCAACAGACCATACATGGCCAGATACAAGATTATCCACAGCCTCGCTCACTCACCTCGGCAGCGAAGTGCTTCCCACTGATGGTATGCTCAGAGCCGTGGGGGTCATTGCGCTCTCCCCAGTGCAGATGCAGCTGCTCGGCTCTGTACTGGTGAGAGTGGAGGCCCTGGATGTGCATGTCTGAGATCAAGTTCAGTCTCACTGTAGGGAGGGAAGGGACAGCTGTTAGAGTCCTGGCCAGCTGAACACTGCCAGAGAGCTGTCAGGTAGGCAATGCCTATACACCAACAGGAAGATGCAGATCAGAGAGATGCAGGTCAGCAACCCACTTTCCTAGCACTAGACCAATGATGGATGGTTTGGGGCTTTTTGTTTTGTTTGTTTTTGATTTTGTTTTTGAGTACCGGCTTTAGGGCTTGAACTTGGGGCCTTGTGCTCTTGTTTGACTTTTTTGTTCAATACTGGTATTTTGCCATTTGAGCAATGCTTCCCTTTGGCTTTTTGCTGGTTAACTGGAGATAAGAGTCTCTTGGATTTATATTTATAATTCTCAGATCTCAGCCTCCTGAGTAGCTAGGATTACAGGTGTGAGCCACTAGTGCCTTGCTTGAATGTTTTATACACTCATGTATCAGACATCTGTTTTGTTTTGTTTTTGTCAGTTGTGGGGCTCAAACTCAGGGCCTGGGTGCTGTCCCTAAGCTCTTTTCCTCAAGGCTAGTGCTCTACCACTTTAAGCCACAGTGCCACTTCCAGTTTTCTGGTGGTTAACTGGAGATAAGAGTCTCATAGACTTCCCTGCCTGGGCTGGCTTTGAACTGTGATCCTCAGATCTCAGCCTCCTGAGTAGCTAGGATGACAGGCACAAGCCACCAGCACTTGTCCAAGACATCTGGGTTTTGAAGGTAGAACCTTTACCTCCAAGTTTGAGAACTATATGACTAATAACAACAGTTGCTGGTTAGGAAGCATTTCCTGTATGCCAGACCCTAATAGAACCGACCTCTGGTCTTAATCATATTTATCAATATGACCATTTTCCCAGATGAAAGCTTGAGTTTATTATCCACACTCTGCTGGCTCATAAGTAGTTAAGCCATGACTCAACCCCAGGTATATCAAAGTTGAAAAAATCAGCAATGGAGCTGCATCCCTTCAGTTGCTCTTGATGACCCAGAAGCCACTCTTACCATGGACCAGGGGGCTGGGACCTGATGCCTGCCCCATCCTGAGAGATGTGCTTTCTCTCAAGCACATCTGGAAAAATGAGCCAGGCCTGCCTCCACAGCCTCTCCTCTGGCTAGCTCCAGGGAACTGCCCCCCTACCAGATGGAAAAGGGCTGAACAGGAGATCGCTCCCTCACCTGAATGGCCATCATTGGTCAAGTTCAGCAACTTGTCAGCTGATATGTTGTAACCATGGAACTGGAGAGGCACAAGGCTGGCATCATACTGGAGGATGTCACTGTGCAGGTCTATTGGGGACTGCAGGAGGCCCCCACAGGATGGGTACTTCTTGGACCAGCTCTTCTCCCCAGTTGGACCTAGAAGGAGAGATCAAGCCTAAGACTAAGTCAGGGTATTTTCTCTGATCTTCTAATGTTGTGTTCAATACGATTAATCTGAGGAAACTTGTTCAAGATATAAAGACTTCTGTCTATAGAAATCAAAGCCAGAAAATGCCTCAAGACCAGCTCTCCACATGAAGATGATTCACTTTTGGGCACTCGCTGCCTTCACAGAGCCAGGAATTCCTCTGGGCTTTGGATTATCGGGTCAAACATCATCCAGGCCCTGCTCACCCAAGCTGGCATTCCAGGCTGTGCTAGGTCTGGAACATTGGTCCAAGGGAGTTCCCTCCTCCACAGAGAGACCTTTGATGGATCCACAGGTATGAACATCTTGATATAAAATCCTGAAGACATTGACTCTTGATACCTACATCTAGAAAGCAGAACTCGACCTGATGGGAATGCTTGAAAAATGTCAAATAATTATGGGAATCACCTAGCCAAGTGCAGGATTTCATGTAGGGAAATACATGAAAATACTCCCAACTCATTATTACAATGTAATTGACAAACCGTCAGGAAGAATGACTTTAAAAATGAAAAACCCCTGGGGCTCAAGCTTCTTGCTAACTACCAGATAGCAATCGCTCTTCTGGAAAATGTAAATAAACACCACATATTCAAATAAACTATCCTACTCCCACAGAGGGAAAAAAATCCTTAAAGAATGTAAATCTATATTTAAAAGATTATCTCCCTTGGTAATTAAATCAGATTTTCAGGCTGAGGTTTTCTCCAGAAAAGCAAATAATCGGCAAGTCATAGCTCGTTACAGTTAAAACCATGATGCCCCGGTGGGTGCTAACAGAACTTGGAATCCAGCTTCACCATCTGGGGTTCATTCATCAGCAAGTATGTAGGTGCTAACTAGAAAAAGAGGAAGGGAACAGAAATATTGGGGGGGTGTTGGCCCCATAGAGGGTCCCTGCCCCCTACAGCTTGCTCTCCAAGGAGAAGACTTCTGAGAGACAAGTGAATCAGAAGTAATACTTGGTACCCTCATTTATGTAAAACACGATGAAGTCAGGCACCAGTGGCTCATGCCTGTAATCCTAGCCACTCAGGAGACTGAGATCTGAGGATTGTGGTTCAAAGTCAGCCCAGGCAGGAAAATCCATGAGACTCTTTATCACCAGAAAACTGGAAGTGTCACTGTGGCTCAAAGTGGTAGAGTGCTAACCTTGAACAAAAAAGTTCACGGATGGGGCCGGGAAGGTGGCTCAGTGGTAGAGCGCTTGCCTTGCATGCCTGAGGCCCTGGGTTCGATTCCTCAGCACCACATATGCAAAAAGAAAAAAGCCAGAAGTGGTGCTGTAGCTCAAGTGGTAGAGCGTTAGCCTTGAGCTGAAGAGCTGAGGGACAGCACCCAGGCCCAGAGTTCAGGCCCCACAACTGGACCCAAAAAAAAAAAAAAAGCTCACGGAGAGTACCCAGGCTCCAAGTTCAAGCCCCACAACAACAACAATAACAACAACAAAAACAGTATGAGGAGTTGGTCTCAGGTTTAGTTCTTTGAGATTCCGACACATAACAGAGCTTTTCGGGCTGTCAAACTTTGCACCTGCCTTTTGGGAAATGGTAGAAAATAAAGGGATTTCAGACACTCCAATCCAGCTCCTCCCCAGACCTGCCAGTCTCTCTACTGAACTATACAGTTTGTATTTGCAAAGCTTCAATGTCCTAGAATCAAAGCAATTCAAATACATTAAGATGGAGACAGAGAGAATTAGGACTATACCCACACAAGTCAGCCAGATGCCAGAGTGAGACAGTTACTCATCTGGGGGCAGAGTGGTACCACCATGGTGCCTCATGTTGACCCCAGGGGTCACGAGGAGACACAGCACAGGCTGGCAGGATTTCCCAAGGAAAGCTGCCCACAGTCCCTCCCAAGCCCATAGCCAGGGTGGCAGAAGTTGGCAGCCAGACAACTACCTAGGAAACTCAGGAAGCAAAGAGATGCAGCAATGAGAAGATTTCTCCTTGTACATGTAAATAAAGGGAACCAGGTTAGATGGACTTTCTTTTCCCAGAGTAAAAGTAAAGGATTTTTATCAAGAGAGTGTTTTGAGGTTTGGAGATGTAGCTCAGTGGTAGGGCACCTGCCTAGTATCTGCAAGGCCCTGGCTTTGATCCCTAAGCACTAGGAAAGAAAGAAAGAATGAATGAAAGAAAGGAAGAAAGGAAGGAAGGAAAGAAAGAGAAAGACAAAGAAAGAAAGACAAAGAAAGAAAGAGAGAGAGGAGTGACATTGAAATGAAGATGTATTTTACTCATAACTTGAAAAGTTGAATTGAAACCCATTTACCACTACTTAAAGACAACTAAAAAATTAAACTGAAAGCAGGGTACCAGTGGCTCATGCTTGTAATCCTAGCTATTCAGGGGGCTGAGATCTGAGGACTGCAGTTCAAAGCCAGCCCGGCCAGGAAAGTCCATGAGACTTAATCTCCAATTAAACACCTAAAAAGCCACAAGTGGGGCTGTAGCTCAAATGGTAGAACACTAGCTTTAAGCCAAAGAAACTCAGAGTTCAAGTCCCAAAGCTGGGATGCGCGTACACACACACACACACACACACACACACACACACACACACACACAATTAAACAGAAAGAGAAAAAGGAAAGAAAGGAGAAAAAAGTGGGGGAGAACATCAGTAAATACTGAACAAGAGCTCTATGAAGACAAGGGTCCCTTATTTCCTTCTTTGTAAACCACATCCTGACAGGCACTTACCTAGTAGATATTCTCAAAGGACAGAGAGCTTGGAACAAGGTTATCAAGGGAATTTTTGTTTACAGCTGTGCTAGCCCTGGGGCTTGAACTCAGGACCTGGACATTGTCCCTGAACTTTTTTTGCTCAAGGCTGCTGCTCTACCACTTGAGCCACAGCTCCACTTCCAGCTTTTTGCTGATTAAATAGAGGTTAAAAGTCTCACAAACTTTCCTGCCCGGGCTGGCTTTGAATCATGATCCTCACATCTCAGCCTCTTGAGTAGCTAGGATTATAGGCATAAGTCAGGAATGCCTGGCTGAAATTTTTCTTTTTAATTGTACCCTAAACATTCTTTACTGGAAGTCAGAGCTAAGTCAGGTATTTGGGGGACAGGAAAAACGATGGATAGTAAAGACAGCAATAGCTATGTTGATAAAAACCTTCCTCGGGAAAAACAAAAAGCAACTACATTACAACCAAAAGAGTCCAGGAAACAATATTCCAGCAGCACTGGTCCCTCCACCTGGAGCATGCCTTATTCCCTGCTGGAGCCTCCACAGCCCCTGGCATAAATGGGAGAGTTGGACATTGCTCTGGAAGGTTCCTTCTGGCTCTCCAGCTCTGAGATTTATAAAGATCAGGACTAAGTACCTTTGCCCTGCACATCAGGCGAGTTTGGACGAGTTGAGGAGGGGTTGTTCATGCCAAGAAAGCCGCTGAGCAGGATGATGAGGTGCCCGGTGTGAAGCAGCGTCAAAAAGAAGGGCACAGGGCACGGGTGCCCCTGCCCTGGCCAGGGCACGCACACTGCCTATTCTGTCCTGGCTGCAATCCAGGAGCAAACTAGTGCTTTTTCATTTGTCACCGGCCCTTGGGCAGAAACAAGAACCTCTTATTTTTTTTTTAATTTTATGTTGGTACTAGGGCCTGAACTCAAGCCCTCACTTAAGCCTCACTCGGCTTTCTTGCTCATCATGGCTGGCATTCTACCACTTGGATCATTGCTCCAATCCAGCATTTCACTGGAGATGGCATCTTTTCTTCTCCCAGTGGCACTGAACCACAATCCTCCAGATTTCAGTCTCCTGAACAGTCAGAATTACAGTAGTGAGCCACCGGCACCTGGCTTTAAAGAAGCCTCTTCTATTCTTCCTGCTTCTTCATCATCATTGTTATTAGTACTATATTTTAAGAGGTTTGATCCTTACAATTTTATGGTGTAACCAGATTAAGCTTACGTAATTTGTACAAAGTTAGACTTTGGCTTAGTAACAGAGTTACTTTACTTGGGATAGAAAAGGTGTGTCTTCTGTTTCAGCCTTTATCTAGGGGATTTGGGGCATCTGTTTCCTCCTGCTCCCACACTCTCCCTGGAGGGAAGAACTATGTCTATGTTTTATCCATCCCTGTATTTCCCACCATGCCTGGCCCAACAAGTCCTCACATGTTGGCTGAGCTGGATCTTCACACCTCTGCGTATTCTTTTCCACTGAATCAAGCATCCACTCCAATTTCTCCATATGTTTGCTTCCCTCAAAACAAAGAAGCACATAAGATCACTTGCTCAGAGCCTTCAAGTTAACAAGATGTGAGGACTGTGGAAAAGAAATGGGGAGCTGGCTTGCCAGTCCTAGCTACTCGGGAGGCTGAGATCTGAGGATTGCGATTCAAACAAAGCCAGCCCAGGCGAGAAAGCACATGAGACTCTTATCTCCAACCAATCACCGCCCCCCCCCCAAGAAAAGTAGAAAGTAGAGCTCAAGTGGTAGAGTGTTAACCCTTGAGCAAAAAAAAAAAAAAGCCAAGGACACTGCCCAAACCCTGACTTCAAGCCCCAGGACTGGTGACAAAACAAAAATTCGTTTGTTTGAATCAATGTTCAAATAAGGCTCACGTAGCGTGATTGATTGAGAAATATCTTCTAAGATAGTTTTTATCTAAAGTTCCCTCTTTCATCTCCAACACAAATATGCTTAGTCTATAAGATTATGAATGTACAGTCTCCTTCTTGCCCTGGGCAAGTAATTTATGCAAGTAAATGAAGGATAATTTTATTTATTTTATAGCCTGTTTATAGACATGATATAGGCGTAAGTAAAAAAAAAATTTATGGGTTCAGCCGTTTCTGATGTTTACATACCTGGAATGTAACATTATGCATAGAGCAATAAAAGCACCTCAAGTTCTTTAGGAGACAAGCAATACGCAATTACCCATACAGTTTGATTACTATTTCTCACTGTGTGTCCTATGAGCTCACATTAATA